CTTGCGCGCGGCGCCGCGGCTCGGCTGGGTTCGCCGCTCTCGTGAGCGCACGGGGACGCCCGGCGCACACTCGCGCTCTCCCACTGCGCCGGACCCTCTCCGGCCGCTGCCGTCACCAAACTCCTGTATCCTCCACCGGAGAAGTCACATGGGCCCCGAGGTCACCTGCCCGTGGAGGGGCCGCTTGCCTCGCTTCCAAGTGAGGACCTGGATCGAGCCCGTGGTGGCCTCGACCCAGGTGGCCGCTTCCCTGTACGACGCGGGGCTGCTCCTGGTGGTGAAGGCGTCTTTCGGAGCCGGGGGCCCCTCCAACCACAGCGCCAACCCATCGCCCCGCGGCGCTCTAGAGGACGAACAGCAGAAGGCCATCTCCAATTTCTACATCATCTATAACCTCGTGGTGGGCCTGACGCCCCTGCTGTCGGCCTACGGGCTGGGCTGGCTCAGCGACCGCTACCACCGCAAGATCTCCATCTGCGTGTCTCTGCTGGGCTTCCTGCTCTCGCGCCTCGGGCTGCTGCTCAAGGTGCTGCTAGACTGGCCGGTGGAGGTGCTGTATGGGGCGGCGGCGCTGAACGGACTGTGCGGTGGCTTCTCTGCCTTCTGGTCTGGGGTCATGGCGCTAGGGTCCCTGGGCTCCTCCGAGGGCCGCCGCTCTGTGCGCCTCATCCTTATTGACCTGATTCTGGGCTTGGCGGGGTTCTGCGGGAGCATGGCCTCCGGGCATCTCTTTAATCAGATGGCCGGGCACTCTGGGCAAGGCCTGGTGCTGACGGCCTGCAGCGTGAGCTGTGCGGCATTTGCCCTTTTCTACAGCCTCTTTGTGCTGAAAGTCCCAGAGTCGGTAGCTAGTCCCAGCAAGGACCTTCCCGCTGTGGACACAGTGTCCGGCACCATCGGCACATACCGCACCCTGGATCCTGATCAGCTGGATAAGCAGACTGCAGCGGGGTACACTTCATCTCCTGGAAAAACCAAGCCCCCAATATACATCATAGCCCTGCTTTTTGTGGGTGCCATCGTCTATGACGTTGCAGTGGTGGGCACAGTGGACGTGATGCCCCTTTTTGTGCTGAGGGAGCCTCTCAGCTGGAACCAAGTGCAGTTGGGCTATGGTATGGCTGCAGGGTATACCATCTTCATCACCAGCTTCCTGGGAGTCCTGGTTTTCTCCCGCTGCTTCCAGGACACCACCATGATCACCATCGGGATGGTCTCCTTTGGGTCCGGAGCCCTCCTCTTAGTGTTTGTGAAACAGACATACATGTTCTACATTGGTGAGTCTGGCATTCTGGGGAGGCAGGGCATCACTGGCTCTCACATGATGGGGCTGACACCAGGGATGCTGTGGTCTTGGTGTTCCAGCTCAGTACTGGGAATTGAACCTGCTACCAGGGAGGCACAGGGAGGCAGGGTTATGGCACTGAGTTTATCTGTACTGTTACATGTTATCTGTATTGCTGATTGAAATGTTAGCAGACTGGTTTCCAGGGTCTAGGAGGCCAAGGAGGTGAAGTCAGTGGTGTTGGCCTAAGTAGTGGAGTCTTCAGAAGGGCCTTGAATGGAAGAGATGGGGTTGAGTTTCTTCTCCTCAGCTCTTTCTTTTTAAAGAATGATTTATTTCTCACATTATTATGATCATTATTTAATTTGCTATAGGATACATGCGCTCCCCAAAGAGAGAAGGAGAGAGAGAAAGTGAGAAAGCAAGCTGCCAGGTCCAGGACTCAAACCACAGTTGAATATGTGGGAGTCCAGCACCATAACCACCACGCCATCTGCGGCCCCTCTTCTCAAGTTTCCATCTGAGGTCACAGGTCAACCACCACAGCAGAAAGCTCTAGACTGGTGCTCCTACAGAACTTTCTACAGCGGTGGAAATGATCTGTCTCCCTTCTATCCTCCTGCTAGCCACTGAGCACCTGAGAAGTGACTAGTACAACTAAAGAGCCGAATTTTAAATTTTATTTCATTTCAGTTAATTGGGTTCAGCACACAGAGCTAGTGGCTGGTGTCTGGAAAGAACAACTCTGGATGGTTACCAGAAGTTGTCCCTTGGCTGGATCACACACGTCAGAAAAACACCTAACAAAATGGCAAGGTTACCTCCAGCCAGTATGCACATATCACATGCACAGACCAGGATGCGTGCCCCTGAGCCATGCCCTCCCACCACCTCTATCCTGAGCCCTCCAGCACCACACACACACACATTCACACACATCTGGATAACCAGTAGAGCTCAAGGGGTATGGAACATCTGTGTTAGTGGGACACATTTTGGCAGGTGGCCAAAGCTCCTGGGACCTTGTCCCACGGTGTTCGTGAATGTCAGGGACAGGCACTTCTCTCCTGGGAAGCAAGCAGGGAGACTCTGTGTTTTGGTGGCAGCTCCACTTCTCTAGAAACCACACTGGGCCAAGTGTGACATCCGTCACCATGTCACCTGTGCCCAGCTGCTTGCAGCATACACAACTCTATCTGAGCTCAGCAGGGTCAGGGTCCAGCCCAGAGAGGGCGCTAGTTTGCAGCAGACAAGTGACTTCTTCCAGGTCAGACCGCATATGGATATGGAGAGTGGGGGTCCTGATGAGGCTTTGATTTATTCTCATTTCCTCCTTAGCCAAGGCTGGGCTACAGTGAGGCCTGTTCTTGTGTGATCTCTTCACAGCTCGAGCCGTCATGCTGTTCGCTCTCATCCCCATCACGACCATCCGGTCAGCCATGTCGAAACTCATAAAGGGCTCTTCTTATGGTGAGTGAAAGGAATCTCTCTGGGATTTTCCTTCCAGGCTGTTTCAGAACTGCTCAGCAGGCAGAAGGCACTTGAGAGAGTTGCAGAATATCTAGAAGCACACTGAATATTCTGAATATTCTAGAAGCACACTGGCTTCTATCCAGGGTACAGGGAGTGAAAACAGGAGGGTGAGAAAGACTGAGAAGGTCAGAAGCCACAAAGAGAAAATGCTATTATTTACAGGTTTCAGGAAGACCCAGATAGATGGAGGTAGGAGTCATGGTGAATTGTGCCCTGAAGACTGAGAGAGAGTCCTCGGAAGAGGAAGGGACCCCTAAAGCTCCCCAAGAGACTCCCCTAGTAGGGAACGACACTTGCTCTCACACCAGCTACATCGGGGTAACCTCTGTCTCTTCCACAGGAAAGGTGTTTGTCATACTGCAGCTGTCCCTGGCTTTGACCGGGGTGGTGACCTCCACAGTGTATAACAATATCTATCAGCTCACCATGGACAAGTTCGTGGGCACCTGCTTCGCTCTCTCCTCCTTTCTCTCCTTTCTGGCCATCGTCCCAATCAGGTAAGAAGAGAACCATGACTGCTGTTTGGACTGGAGCCCTGGTGCTCAGGTCAAGGGACGCTGGCCCAGCTCCAGCCCACTGTCACAGCACGATTTATTTTCAGCATTTAGGCTGTGGCTTCTACGTAAGCTCTCACAAAGAAAAAGTCCTCCTGTTCCCCCGATCTAATAATCTGGCTATTTGGGAATTTCCCCAAAATACAAGTAATGAATAGAAGGCCCCTACTAACTGGCTCATTTCCTGGCAGTTTTGCAATGACCATTTATTTGGAGCTTCATGAACTTCCTTATAATCAGAAGCTGGGATTAGAACTCTCTTAAACCATTTGTTTGTTTAACTTCCTGTGCGTGAAAGCCTTCGTTCCTCCTTCAGCCTATAATTGTTTGTAAAGTTTATTTTATTCATGAGAGAGAGCATGTGCATATGCATGAGAAAAACAGGCAGACACTGGGTCTCATCATGCCCTGATCCCCTTGCCCCAGCCCTCCAGCTCACCAGGATCTTGAGTACACACGCCCTGCGTGTTTTCAGAGTGACTTAGAATCTGAACCAGCGGTCGGCCATGTGGCTTCCAGCACTGCAGTTCAATGGGCATTGCTGGTATCACCCAGGCCAGACCCAGGATATGAGTCTTTTCTTTGTGCCCTCAAAGGGTTATGTGCTTAGGGCTGCGGAAATTTCCTGGCTACTGGATCATGTGAACTCTCTAGAGGACCTTGGGCAACTCCCTTCTCTGAAAGAATCATCTCATTGTAAAGTAAAAGCACTCTGTTTGGGAGATAACAGCGGGGAGGAAGGCTGGAGAACTGCAGAAGAAGCATGCTGGTCCCACAATAAGAGCTCAGGCCTAAGTATCGACAGTAGAAAATGTCATGGAATACTTCGGCCCTCCCTGTCTGATAGAAATGCCAAGAAATGCAAACCACACATATGATCTTAAATTTTTTTCTAGTAAATTTTTTTCACATTTAAAAACATTACTGGGACAAGTGATAGGCCAGCCCTGTAGCAGTGGTTAAGTGCTGTGCATAGGAAACCAGATCTCATATGGCCAACCCCAGTTTGAGTCCCAGTGGCTTAAAAAACATGGTGGGCTGGGGCCAGCAGGTGGCAGGTGGTTAAGGCACTGGAATTCCCACAAGGCCAATTGCGGTTCGAGTCCCGGACCTGGTGGCTTGCTTTCTCACTCACCCTCGGTCTTTCTTTGGCAAAACTCATGTGAAAAAATAATAAATAAATGAATACATTAATTTCAAAAAAAACATGGTGGGCACAAATGTGTGCGTGCCCAAAGTCCTGACATGATGGGGACGTGGAGGAAAAAAGAAGGCCCCTACTAACTGGCTCATTTCCTGGCAGTTTTGCAATGACCATTTATTTGGAGCTTCATGAACTTCCTTATAATCAGAAGCTGGGATTAGAACTCTCTTAAACCATTTGTTTGTTTAACTTCCTGTGCGTGAAAGCCTTCGTTCCTCCTTCAGCCTATAATTGTTTGTAAAGTTTATTTTATTCATGAGAGAGAGCATGTGCATATGCATGAGAAAAACAGGCAGACACTGGGTCTCATCATGCCCTGATCCCCTTGCCCCAGCCCTCCAGCTCACCAGGATCTTGAGTACACACGCCCTGCGTGTTTTCAGAGTGACTTAGAATCTGAACCAGCGGTCGGCCATGTGGCTTCCAGCACTGCAGTTCAATGGGCATTGCTGGTATCACCCAGGCCAGACCCAGGATATGAGTCTTTTCTTTGTGCCCTCAAAGGGTTATGTGCTTAGGGCTGCGGAAATTTCCTGGCTACTGGATCATGTGAACTCTCTAGAGGACCTTGGGCAACTCCCTTCTCTGAAAGAATCATCTCATTGTAAAGTAAAAGCACTCTGTTTGGGAGATAACAGCGGGGAGGAAGGCTGGAGAACTGCAGAAGAAGCATGCTGGTCCCACAATAAGAGCTCAGGCCTAAGTATCGACAGTAGAAAATGTCATGGAATACTTCGGCCCTCCCTGTCTGATAGAAATGCCAAGAAATGCAAACCACACATATGATCTTAAATTTTTTTCTAGTAAATTTTTTTCACATTTAAAAACATTACTGGGACAAGTGATAGGCCAGCCCTGTAGCAGTGGTTAAGTGCTGTGCATAGGAAACCAGATCTCATATGGCCAACCCCAGTTTGAGTCCCAGTGGCTTAAAAAACATGGTGGGCTGGGGCCAGCAGGTGGCAGGTGGTTAAGGCACTGGAATTCCCACAAGGCCAATTGCGGTTCGAGTCCCGGACCTGGTGGCTTGCTTTCTCACTCACCCTCGGTCTTTCTTTGGCAAAACTCATGTGAAAAAATAATAAATAAATGAATACATTAATTTCAAAAAAAACATGGTGGGCACAAATGTGTGCGTGCCCAAAGTCCTGACATGATGGGGACGTGGAGGAAAAAAGGATTGTGATGTGAACATACCCCTCTGGGGAGAATGCTTTCTCCATTTCTCTCTCTCTCTCTCTCTAGCACGTACACATGCCTCTGGCAGTTAGAAAAAATTTAAAAATTAAACATAAAATAAATAAAACCATTCAAACAGAGTGACAGATGAAGTTGATTTTTAAACATTTGCTATCTAAAATATCATCTCAATAGGTAATCAATTTACAAAATTAACCAATGAGATAATTTACCTTTCTAAAAACTTAGTCTTTGAAATCTGGTCTGTATTTTAAGCTGAGAGTCCATTGCAATTTGGCCACATTTCAAGTGTTCCATAGCTGCACGAGGCTGGGGGCTCCTATACTGAACATCACAGGGTTAGACTGTGAGGCCCTTTTCCCTGCTGTGAGGTTCTCTCATGCTGGTTTCAGTGTCGCCAGAGCAGAATGGAACATCCATGAGGGGACATTGAAAAGTTCATAGAAAAAGAGAATTAAAATGCAAGCTTATTTTGATGTAAAAATATTTCAAATTCAGGTCAGCCCTGTGGCTTGGTGAGAGCCAGATTCCTCATGGCCCACTGCACAGTTCAAATCCCAAGAGTGGCGAAATGGAAGAGAAAGGATTAAAACATGATCACACTCCATTTTGGGGATTGCTTTCTCCATCTCTCTGTCTGTCTTTCTGTCTGTCTGTCTCTCTCTCTCGCTCAGTTTTTGGAGAGCACATGCACTCTCTGGCAACTTAAATTTTTTTTTCAATTTGGGGCCAGCAAGTGACATGGCGTTTAAGGGCGCTGGACTCCCACATGGCTGACCATAGTTCTAGTCCTGGACATGGTGGCTTGCTTTCTCACTTTCTCTCTCTCTCTCACTCTGTCCCTCTAAATAAATAAATTAATAAAGTTAAATAAAATAATTCTTTTAAAAAATTTCCAATTCACACATAGTTTCTTTCATATAAATTTTTCATGAACTTTCTTTTAATAGTACACTCTAGAAGCCAGTGTGACTTTTTCTTTATCTCTTTTAAAGTTTATTTATTTCATGAGTAAGAGAGACAGAGAGAGAGAGAGAGAAGCACTCCTCAATAGTCTTGCCACCACATTCCACTCCTAGCATCAGCCAGCTTTAATTATTATTTTTTTAAGAATTGTTTTAGGGACCAGCAGTTAGCGTAATGGCTATATCGCTGAACTCCCATGTAATTGACCATGGTTCAAGTTCCGGACCCCGTGGCTTAAGATTCACGCCGGGTGCATGTGTATGCGTACCCAAGATCCCGAGAGGAGAATGGAGAATAAGGGATTGTGGCATGGCCATCCCCTCGGGGTGGGGGTGGGGGGGTGATTTCTCGCTTTCTGTCTGTCTGTCTCTGTCTTTCTGGCGAGCGCACGCACCCTATAGCAAAAACTTCTCCCCCCCCCCAAAAAAAAGGATTGTTTTATCTGTTATTATTACTTTTTAATTTGACCAGAGAGGCAGAAGAAGGGAAAGTAAGAAAGCAAGCCACCAGGCCTAGGACTCGAAACACGGTTGGCCATATGAGAGTCCAGTGCCGCAGCTACCACGCCACCTGCCAGCCCCCAACCAGCCTTAATTATTGATAGCTCCTGTCCTAGGAGGCTCAGCCTTCTATACAGACAGGGACCCCTATTATAATGTGATGTGAAAAAAACAAAAAGGGCGTAATCACTGTCCCTTTCCAATCTACCTTTTTTTTTAAGTTAAATTTATTTCTTCCATGAGTGAGAGTGAGAGAGACAAGAACAGACAGTATCCCCAACAAGGTTTTGACGCCATGACCCACCCCTAACATCAGTCAGCCCTGGATCGTGGGCATGTGTGTGCCCAGCGTACTCAGGGGGGTCTCCGGATGCGAACCCAGAGCCTTCCCATGTGGGTCAGCCTTGTACTGCACCACATTTTACCACCATGCTACCATCCAGCTCCCACCATGAACTTTTAGAAGACCCCACACACACACATGATGAATAATACACACAACAACGGTCCAAGGGATTCGATATAAGTTTGCAATTTGAAGGGACCTGCCTGGTACGATAGCACAGGAGACCTTTACATATCAGTAATGGTGGTATTACAGGCCGCAGAGGGGAAAATGATTAAAGGCAAGTTGGGGAGTTTTCTCCACTTTATTTCATAATCGAAATAGTTTTACCTTAGCACATGGAAGCTGGTTACTTCCTGCTGCTTACACAGGTTCTCTCAGCTGTTGGGTCCTAACATCCTATTTTTCTCAATTATGAAATAAAGTTAAAGATCAAAAGAAAACAAGTGTTCCTAGTTAACGTGTATCATAAAGATATAAACTGACCAGCGAAAGCAATGAAGAAATCCAACAGTTGGTTCCTTTCTGCAGTCTTGTCTGCTTTGTGTATGTCCCAATAGGGTTCTTTACTTTCCTAACAGATTCTAGGGCACGTGGAGCAGGTGTGCTGCCCTTGACCTCTCACCCCAATGCACGTGGGCTCAGCTATACATTCGGGCATGGTATCTTAGGTAGCTGTGCGGGGTCTTCGTGGTCTTCCATGACAGAAGCAGGGAGCGAATCTTGACGCAAGGAAACAACTGATGGAGTACTCAAGTGGAGTACTCAGTTGACCTTTGGACAATATAGGTTTGAACTGTGTAAGTCTCTACTTTTTTAATACCCAGAAGGTACATGAGCTCACGGGAGAGATGGAGACAGAGAGAGAGAGAGTGAGAGAAAGCATCCCCCCCAATGGGATATGATCATGCCACAATCCCTTCTCCTCCCTTTCTTCATCCTGTGGGGATTCGGGGCACACATGCACAAGTGCCTAGTGTGTTTTTCAAGTCACCAGGACAGGATTTGAACCATGATAGGCCATGTGGGATCTGGAGCCTTTGACCACTAGCCCACCAGGCTGGCCCATGCAGGTCCACTTACATGTGGACTTTTTTCCCAAATAAATACTGTAAATGTATTTTCTTTTCCTGGTGAGTAACACTTTCTTTTCTCTAGCTTGCTTTTTTTGTAAGAGTACAGTAAATAATACATACAACACACCAAATATGTATTGATCGATGTTTATGTTATCTGTAAGGCTTTCTGTCAACAGTAGGCTGTTACTTGTTAGGTTTTTGGGGGTTTTTTTTGGAGAGATTTTCGCTATAGGGCGCGCGCTCGCCAGACAGACAGAGAGAGACAGAGAGACAGAAAGCGAGAAATCACCCCCCAGGGGGGATGGTCACGCTGCAATCCCTTTTCCTCCATTCTCCTCTCGGGATCTTGGGCACACACGCACACGCACCCAGCGTGAGTTTTAAGCCACCGGGTCCGGGACGCGAACCGCGGTCGACTACGTGGGAATCCAGCGACATAGCCATTACGCTAACTGCTGGTTCCCACTTGTTAGGTTTTTGGAGTCAAAAGGTATACAAAGATTTTTGATTGTGAGGGTGTCTCCCTAGCCCCCATGTTGTCCAAGGGCAGTGAATGCTGTTTCCGTCTGTCATGGACATTTAGCCATAGACAGACACATGCTCAAACAAAACCAAATTCTCTGTAGGTTGGAATCATTGGGAAAATATTTTAAGTTATTGCTGTCAGGACTCCACCCCCAGCAATTCTGGTTCAGTTGATCTGGGGTATGGCGTGGGCACAGGGATTTTTTTTAAGTTTTTCAGGTGATTTCAAATGTACAAGCCAGATCGAGAAACTCTGGCGTAAAGGGAGTGTTTCCTTAGCTTTCCCTTCACGAAATTACTAAGTAAATGAAATCTTGAAAAATTCTTAGAGCTATAAGAGGCCAGGTTGTTCCATTAATCACGAAGTGGGAGCAACAGGAAAGACCAGTAAAGCTTCCTAACCACAGAAAGAAAAGCTGCATTCCAATGACATAGAAGCCCAGGACAGCAAATCACAGCAGGGGAGGACTTGGAGGCTGAGACAGAAGAATTGCAACATAGGGCAAGACCCTGTCTTTAAAAACTAAAGGGAATGGGGCCAGCAGATGGCATGATGGTGAAGGTGCTGAACTCCCATACGGTCAACTGGGGTTTGAGTCCCAGACCTGATGACTTGCTTTCTCATTTTCCCTCTCTCTCTTTTTTTAAAAAATTATTTTATTCAATTTCATTTATTCATTCATTCATTTTAATTTGACCAGAGAGACACACAGAGAGACAGAGAGACAGGGTCGGCCATGTGGGAGTGTCCAGCGTCTTAACCACCACGCCACTTGCCGGTCTCCTCCCTCTCTTTCTGTCTCTCTCTGGTCAAATTAAAATAATAATTAAAATGATAAATTAAATTAAATAATTATTTTAAAAATATAAATAAAGAGAATACTCTCATCTTCCCAGCCCAACTCAAAGCCTAGACACAGTGGTGCAGGCCTGTAACCCTAGCGACTCTGGAGGCTGAGGCAGGAGGATTGCAACATGGAGAGACTCTGTTTTTTTTTTTTTTTTTTTGGAGAGGTTTTCGCTATAGGGCGCGTGCGCTCGCCAGACAGAGAGACAGAGAGACAGAAAGCAAGAAATCACCCCCCAGGGGGGATGGTCACGCCGCAATCCCTTCTCCTCCATTCTCCTCTCAGGATCTTGGGCACGCACGCACACGTGCCCGGCATGAGTTTTAAGCCAGTCGAACCGCGGTCGACTACGTGGGAGTCCAGCGACATAGCCATTACGCTAACTGCTGGTCCCGAGAGACTCTGTCTTAAAAAAATACAGGGAATGATCTCTTCTTCTCCTATGTATTAGTATTCTATCTATAAGTTTTCTATCAATTAGTATTCTTTCCTTTTTTAATGCTAATAATAGTGACACTTCAACAGTCCTTACTGTGTGCCATCCATTACTTTATCAGAAAACAAAAACAAAAATAGAGGCTCAAATGTACTACCTAAGTTGCTGACAGATATCCAGTAATGCCCAGCTAGTAAGTAGTAGAGATGGGATTTGAACCCAGGCAGTCTTTCTTATCCACTACATGGCATTGCTTTTCAGAGAAGTCACTGGTGGCCGGGTGCTGCCTCTTCCACCTAATGTAGAGAGCTCACTCCACTGCTTGACTGCCCCCTTCACCAGAACCAACACGTGACTCCAAAGCCTGTTTGCATGTCCTGTCTCTTATCTCACCTCCCATTCGCTGAGGACAGAGGCCATGGCTTTGGCTCACCTGTATCTTCGGCGTCCAGCACAGAGTCTCGTATATTACAAGTACTCACAAAGCATTTGCTGACGGAGTGGATGCTCTGTGAGAAGACTGAGACACCTCCCCACGGCACTGCTGAGAGCTGTGCTCTCCCAGTCCCAGAGCCACCTGCGGGCTGCCCGTGAAGTCAGGCGCTGGCTGCTGCCATGTGCTGTTCTGTAGCGCCCACAGTGCAGTTGGAGCTGCAAGCCCTGTGCTGGCTGGCTCCAAGTCTGGGCTTAAACCCAAGACATCTCAGGGAAAGCTTGGTGGAAACTTCCCAACACTGATTTTCCACCTTCCATGAGCCTGGAGCCCTGCAGAGAAGGATACTTACTGTACCTACAACAAAACTCACAGTTTTACAAGGCTGGGTTTAAGCTACACCCCATCAGCAGTTCCAGGAGCTGTATATCCACCAAGAAGAGCTGTGCCGAGAACACCTGAGAATTCTGAAGCTCAAATGGATGAGAAAATGGACCTGCCAAAGGTCCAAGACTTCAATTCAGAGCTCCTAACTGGCATATATTACTCTCCCTTTCTTTTTTTAAAAAATAATTGCTAGAGGACACATGCAGTCACCAAAGAGGGAGAGAGAGAAAGAGAGGGAGAAAGCACCCCACGATGCAGTGTGATCATGCCATAGTTCCTCCATTTCTCCCTCCTGTTGGGATTTTCAGTTCTTTTCAAGCCACCAGGTCTGGGATTCAAACTGTGCACTGGCCATGTGGGACCCAGCTGCCTTAAACACTAGGCCACAGGCCGGCCCGCTATGCATCTACTATCCATATCTTTACAAACAGTTTAAAATAATGTCATGTTGGTTTATAGAAGACAGAAAGGAGCTAGGGAAAGGCAGAGGATGAGGGAGCTGATTCTGCTTGAGATCTGCAAAGGTCAGTTTGATCTTGAGATATACATGGGAGTTCGTTATCAACCAGGAGTGAGACAGAGATTCCAGGAAAAGGGGGAACAGAGATGCAAAGGGCTCACCATGGAATGGGAAGTGAGGAGACCAGTCCCGGGCTGGAGCAAACCTGGAGGGAGAGAAGTTTCCTCTGTACTCAGCACAGTAGCCTCTGCCATGATGAGTGAACCCTCTCAGTCTATCAGTGATAAAAAGGAGGCTAGAGGGCCAGCAGGTGGCGTGGGGGTTAAGGTGCTGTCTCTCACATGGCCAGTGGCTTGGTTTGAGTCTTGGACCTGGCTGTTTGAAAATCACATGGGGTTCATGTGCATGTGTGCCCCAAATCCCTAGATAAGACTGGAGGAGAAGGGATTGTGACAGGGCCATCTCTCCTGGGAGTGATTTCTCATTTTCTCTTTGTCTCTGGTGAATGCATGTGCCTTATATGTCAATATCTATCTATCTATCTATCTATCTATCTATCTATCTATCTATCTATCTATCTATCAATATATTGTTTTAAAGGAAGGCCCAAATATCTATCTATCTATCTATCTATCTATCTATCTATCTATCTATCTATCTATATATAAAATAAAACTCACGTGAGGCACGTGTGCATGTATGCCCAAAATCCAAGAGGAGAATGGAGGAGAAGGGACTGCAGCATGGCCATCCCCCTTAGGGGTGATTTCTCACTTTCTGTCTGTCTCTCCAGTGAGCACATGTGCTCTATAGCAAAAATCTCCTCAAAAAAAATTATTTTTAAGGAGATTGGAGACCTCCCTATGTCGGTAGAAAGGAGAAAATACACCCTTTGTCCCATGCAGGCTGCTCTCTTATAATCCTCCATTGTAAATTTTTACAGCATCGTGGCCTATAAACAAGCCCGGTAGTCATAATATGGAGACTTCATGGAGAAACGGTGGTGCTGACCTGCAGAAGCTGAAAACACCAGCAATGGCTGAGCCCCCTTGAAGACAGAAGGAAGAACTACTGGACTGAAGCCATCCACTGCCCAAGAAACCCACATTCCAGCCAGAGTTGGCCTCAGGATGACCTGCTCAGGCGCAGGGTCTCTAGTGGGTAGGAAAGAGCACTTTTCTGGTGATGGGAACCTTTCTCAGCTTGTAGACACTGCTGTTAGGCGGAGGTGAGGTTCTACAGCAGCAGAGCACGGCCCTGCATGCACACAGCCCACCCCGGCATTGCAAGGGGCCTAACTCCAGGTGCAGACCACTAGCTCCCTTCTTCCAAGGCTGCCTTGAGGGCTCCAAGGACTGACTAGTACCCTGGGTGCTGTGCTGGAATCCCATGGGAGAAGTCAGACCTGAAGGGATTGTGGCAGGGATGTTTGTAAGAACTGCAGTCATGTTGTATAAACAATGCTATCTTTTACATTAAAATAAAACCTTGAAAAAAAGTTAGTACTCATTCCCGAGGCCTCACTAGCTGTGAACACTGGGAAGAGCGATGGCGCCCAGGCTTTGGTTTCAGGGTAGTGTTGTAATTGTTGCTTTTAAGAAGCAAACTGCAAAGGACTTTCTTCAATGAATCGGTCAAATGAGTACTTTCAGTAATACTTCCCAAAGTGGGTGGTGGGAAGAGAGAGGAGATGTATAATGATCCATTTAACATTGAGGCTTATTTTTATAGCCCACTTTACTGACATAAATAAAAGTGGATTCGCTTTCTAATAAAATCACCATTCATAGTATGAGTGTGTGAATCATTCTTTCCTAGGTCAGACTCCCTCTGTAACTACAGACCTGACAACTTATAGTGGGACCAAACTCAAAGCTAGAGAATGCATTCAAATCCTAGGGCATGCAGGCTCAGAGAATTTGAATTTCTAATCCTCCTACAGGGAATGAACAGAATTTCACTGCCCATCTACTCAAGTCCCAGGTGCTGAGATCCAGCAAGAATGAGACCTGACTGCTCCTGTCCTACCAGAGCATATAATCTAGCAAATGTAACAGAACAGCAAGCAGTGGTGTTTCCTAGACTGAATGCTAGCACATAACCTAGTTTTGGAAGAGCAGGGAGGGCCTCCCAGAAGAACATCTGTAAGACTGGAAGGTAAGTAAGAGTCACCGAGGATAGCTACTAGGGACATTCCAGGCAGAAGGAACAACATGTTGGAAGGCGGGAAGTTGAAAAAAAAAAAAAAAAAAGATAAAGGAATTCAACGTGAAAGGAGCAAAGAGAGAGGCAGGGACAGACAAGTGTCAAGGAAGACATTACAGAGAAGATAAGACTGGTATGGAGGGGCGACTTAAAATTGAGCCTTTCAAAAGGAAAAAAATGTTTCTCTTTCAAGTTAAAGAGATAGCTGTTGAAAGGGTTTGAACAAGAACACAAAGTGTTTACAACTGCATCGTACAGCCTTCTCGCGGCATTGGGGATGACATCTGTAAGACTGGAAGGTAAGTAAGAGTCACCGAGGATAGCTACTAGGGACATTCCAGGCAGAAGGAACAACATGTTGGAAGGCGGGAAGTTGAAAAAAAAAAAAAAAAAGATAAAGGAATTCAACGTGAAAGGAGCAAAGAGAGAGGCAGGGACAGACAAGTGTCAAGGAAGACATTACAGAGAAGATAAGACTGGTATGGAGGGGCGACTTAAAATTGAGCCTTTCAAAAGGAAAAAAATGTTTCTCTTTCAAGTTAAAGAGATAGCTGTTGAAAGGGTTTGAACAAGAACACAAAGTGTTTACAACTGCATCGTACAGCCTTCTCGCGGCATTGGGGATGAACTGGTGGAAGGAGGAGTGGGCAAGTCTTGCAGAAAGGGGACAAGCTAAGAGATCCTTGTCGTAAACCTGGTGAGGGATAATGGTGGACTGGCATTGAGTAAGAAGCTCTGAGGATGCAGAAAGCAGATGGATGTGGAGAAATATTTGGGTGAATTGTGGAGGTTGAAGTATCAATAGATGGAAGAAAAACTCGAATTTGGACAACTGGGAAGAAGGGAGAGCCCCTCCCTCTAAATACGTGTTCAGAGAAAAGAAGAACGGGAAGAAGCATGAGCAGAGCAGGTGGGATGGGAAAGCCAGACTCACGCTCAACCTCCCCACGCTCGCTTACCAATATGCCCATTCCTCCCAACTCCTCGCCTTCCACCCTAGCTCCAGAGCAGCTCCCCAACCTGAATGAATGCACTCACTGGCTTCTCCATCCCTGCTCCTGAAGAGCCTGTTCTTAATGTCTAGAGAAATCTCCGTAATTGTCCACACTGACTGCTACGAGCATGTGGTTTTATACCTGGGTTCGGTTGAAAAAGCTCTAGTAGCAGCTTTTTCAACGCCACTTGTTACCCAGGGTAGCCGTTTCAAATCTTTTCCACTCTCCCTGGGTCAGCATTTATTCTAACAGGTGCTCTAACCCACTGCTCTTTGAGCAGCACCAGCAAGGAAACCCGGGAGCCTGCTAGAAATGCAAATGACGGGGTCCCACCCATGTCAAACTCCAGGAGGGGAGCCCAACAAGCCCTCACGTTTGCAAATCATCCTTCCGACCTACAGGGCCTAGCTCTTCTTTTTAAGGACCAGCAGATGGAGTAATGGCTTTGTCGCTGGACTCCCATGCAGTCGAACGCAGTTCAAGTCCTGGACCCAGTGGCTTAAACTCACACCAGGCACATGCATGCCCAAGATCCTGAGAGGAGAAGGGATTGCAACATGGCCATCCTCTCTGGGGGGTGGTATCTCACTTCCTGTCACTGTCTTTCTGTCTTTCTGGTGAGAGCATGTGCCCTATTTCAAAAACCTCTCCAAAAAAAAAAAGAAGAAGAACTTTCTCTGAGTCTTCCTCCTCTTCTTCCTACATCCTTAATTCTTGGGTCCCCAAAGGACCTATCCTTGGCCCCCTTTCCAAGAAATCCAGTCCATTCCCATGGACTCCAGAACACTGTTTCCAACAGTTTACTCACATCTCCACCTAGATTTCCTCAGACATCAATCCAAACCAAATTCTTCTTTCACCCCACACATAAACCGAATTTATCTTTTATATTTCTCTCCAGATTTATGTCAGCTGGATGGCAACACCCCCGGCTCCAAGATGGAAATCTTCAAGTCATCTCTAACCCATTCTCCTCACTTCAGAAATCGCTTATATCAAACTGGCCACCTCCTCCTTGTAATCACCTTTTGCCACAGCCTTTACAATCTTTCTCTATCCTTCCCTAAGCCTTTCGTCTCACCACAGTCCTCTAGCATTCTATCTCCATCATATTCCTCTTCTTTTTTTAGAGAGAGAGATTTTTGCTATAGGGCGCATATATTTGCTTGAAAGTCAAAGTGAGAGAGACAGAAAGCGAGAAATCACTCTCCCCGGGGGGATGACCACGCCGCAACCCCTTCTCCTCTACGCTCCTCTCAGGATCTTGGGCTCACATACACATGTGCATCTGGCATGAGTTTAAGCCACAGGGTCTGGGCCTCGAACTGTGGTTGACTACGTGAGTCCAGCAACGTAACCATTATGCCATCTGCTGGCCCCCTATCTCCATCATATTCTTAAAATGAAAACCGGGTAGGGGGCAGCAGGTGGTGCAGTGGTTAAAGCACTGGACTCCCAGATGGCTGATCGCAGTTTGAGTCCCACACCAGGTAGCTTGAAACTCACACCAGGCGCATGTGCGTGCGTGCTAAAAATCCCAAAAGGAGAATGGAGAAGGGATTGTAGCATGGCCATCCTCCCTGGGGGGTGACTTCTCACGTACTCTGTCTCTATGGTGAGTGTATATGCCCTATAGCAAAAATCTCTCTTTAAAAAAAAAAAAATAGAGTGGGGGAAGTTACATCCAACTTAAAAAAAATAAACTGGGAAAACATACAGAAAGGAGTATTACATTTAATATTTAAGGTGACTGTATTTTAAAAAGTAATATGAGTCTTTCCTTAAAGGCCATCATATAGTGAGTGTCCACTATGGTGGTTCATGTACATGATTGCTATCAGCAGAATGCATGCAGTATGTGACAATCAAATTAAGGATATTACCATATATATCATTTTCAATGGAGAACTTTACATTATGTGTTAGGTCGAGTTAACATATGTTAGGCTGAGTTAGTATAGGCCGATTTAGTATAATCACCCATGCTAGGGCTGTTAGGATAGGCCGAGTTAGCATATTCACCACCATGACAGGGCTTCAAGAATGGAGCCCGGGAGTTCATGAATAAACAAAGGACAGGAATTCGTGAATAAACAGAAGATAGGAACTCATAAATAAGCAGAGGACAGGTGGGCCATGCGGGCCAAGACAAGGTTTACCTAACTTTAACTAAGAGTTCTTATCTAAATTCAAGCAGGCAATAACAACTAGACCCTAACTACACATACTCCCTCCCTTGTGTGCTGCATACTATGAAAAGTTACTAACGGTATATCCTGTATTGCCTCCTGAGCTATAAAAGGTCCCGCTATCCTAGGTTCAGGGTCCCTGTTGCAACCTGCTGCGTCGGGCATAAACTAGGACCCCTGCTAGCTGGAAAAATAAATGCCTCTTAATGCAGTTACACTGTCATTGTCTCATCTGCGTCACCACTAGATAGATCGATCTTTGGACCCTAACATATGTTTGTTAAATATTTCTTTCCTGAGCTCCTCCCACTTACCCTTTACCATCACCCCCTCTCCCACAGTCTCTGGTTATCTACACTTTCCTCCCTACAACTGGATCTTTGGAAAGTCATGACATACTTTTCTATGAGAAAATGCATCATGACTTTTCCAATGACCCAATGTTATATCTTCAGATATTTACCTTTCTGCCAACTCGTATTCTATCTTGTTGCCTCATTTTACATGACTGAAGTCTTAGATTAATAATGTCTACTACAAGTTGAGTATCCCTCATCAGGAATACTTGGGACCAGAAGTGTTTAGGATTTTGAATATTTGCATACACATAATGAGATATCTTGAGAATGGGACCCAAGTTTAAATATGAAATTCATTTTTTATATAACTAATATATATGTAATCTGAAGGTTATTTTATACAAAAAAAATTTGTTTTGACTGGGACCCATGACATAAAGTCAAGTGTGAGATTTTCCACTTGTGACTTCAATCTGCACTCAAGAACTTTTGAATTTTGGAGCATTTCAGATTTCAGATTTTCAGATTAGGGATGTTTAGCCTGTATCAGTAAGCCAAGTTCAGAATCATTTTAAGAACATGTGTGGATTCATCACGATCGTTAGGCAAACTTAACTGGGACTCTGGCCTCTGATTTACAACAAACTCACTCCAACACTCTAATAATTCACAATTTTTTCTTTACTTACAAACTCTTCAAAAATATCACAATAGATCAAAAACTTAGGAAATGACTATCCCTGACCTCAGAATATACTGTTGTGCTTTGCTACTGGATGGAGCAGCAAGAAACCATTCATGTAATACATCTGGTCAGGGGAACATCAGCCTAACCGCCCATCATGGAGGTTAGTATACGAAGTAGTTTCATCATCTCCCCAGAGTGGTGTTGAATTCTAAGAGGATAAATTGAGTGCCTATAAAGAAGTGAAGAATAAAAACAGTTCAATTGTATATATATTTTCCTGTCATTCTGTTATCTAGATCCTTGGAGGCAAACTGATAACATTGTTTGGCCTCTGAGATCAAAAAACAAAGCAGGCAACTCCATGAAGGATTTAATAAAAGTTTAATATCAGAGGGTAATGTACAAAACGGAAGGAGTGGCCAAACAAATGAGCCTCGTGTTCCCAGCTGCAGACTCTGCTCCACTCAGCCCCATGCCTTCCAGTGAGCTGGAACTTTCAAAGGAGCTGAACAATAGGGGAAAACTCTGGGGAAGTGAGCCATCTGGGGGAGTGAGACAGGACGTATTCAAGGTCGGGGAGTGGAGATAAGTTGCCTGGAGGGAGACTTGACTGCCCCAGGGTCAAAGACTGTTAGCCTTTCTATTGTCAAAGGCCAGTGGCTGAAACTGCTGTCCCAGTTAGAGGGTCTGAATGAATGGTTGCCCTAGGTAAGAATTAAATTTAGGCAGAAACTGCCTACTCAAAGCTAGAAAAGACAATTGGCAGTGTGGAAAGCTCAAACTGGAGTCGGTTTGATTCACTCACAAATACGTGTTCAAAGAAAATAGGAAAACAGAAGAGGCATGTTTTCCTGTCCTACATGTGGAGAGAAGTCTGACTACTTTTCCTATTTTTCCAAAATCTTTTCAAAAGGGACCGGGGAAGCCCTGCCACAAACATTAACAGACCATTTATTTTCTATGAACAGGATTCTTCCTACCTCCTGTTCCTGGCACAGTATCTTTGAGATGTATATTTTAACCGATTACAGTAGATTCTTGCGCTTATCTCTTCCCAAGACACAGAACTTCCCTTTTCCTTGAGATGTAGATTAAGCCTTTCTTTAACTAAGACACAG